ATATGAATCTTTTCATGAACTTTTTGAAGTACTCTCATATGACAAAATCTAAGACATGTGGCTTTGGGACTGGGTGGACCTTAAGGATAGTTTAGTGAAAACCTAAATGGATTCAAAGAGACTGTAAGCAGAAGCCTGATGTCCTTTGAGGAGGCTGTCTGTGAGGTTTTAAAGAAAATCTTATTGGAAGCTGGAGGGATGCAGACCTTTATTATGTAGCGGAGAAAATTTTAGCAACAGTGTCCCCTGTGATAACATGGAAACAGAAAATGTATCTAATGAAACTAGATGATCTTATTAAAGAGATTTCCAGACAGTGTTAAAAGTGGCTTCTTCACTGAAGTTGAAGAGCAGGTTAAGTGAGGGTAAGGGAGTAAGAAATCTGGAATAAAAAGTTCTGTTTAGAATGTGGAATGCTGGGCCGGGCCCGTGGCACACTCGGGAGAGTGCGGCTCTGGGAGCGCAGCAGCGCTCCCGCCGCGGGTTCGGATCCTATATAGGGATGGCTGGTGTGCTCACTGGCTGAGTGCGGTGCGGCCGGTCTCAAAAAAGGACAAAAAAAAAAAAACAGAATGTGGAATGCCTTGGATACTGATTTCAGGGGTGGAACAGTTCAAGAGAACAAAGTGCAGGATATGATCAAAGTGGGTGGTCGAACAGTAGAGGTGGTGAAAGGTTTTTATACTGGTGACTGCAAGGACAGAGTGGACAGGGGGGCAACCTAAGCTGATGACAACAGCCTGTCAAAAATCTCCCTGAGAGGGTGGAATGGAGATTGCATGGTAATGAAAGCCTCAATACAGGGGTAATTGTCGAGAAGTTGTGGTGACAAGTTAGGAGAATGCCACCTTTTATTCTTGGCTAAAGATATTAAAGATGCGAGAGAAGGAAGAACTTCTTTTCAAAGGACTTCAAGGGAATCAGTGAACTTAAGGAAGATGCCAGATTTTAGACAAGATAAACAGATGGCAGCTGAGCTCTAGGAAGAGGTTAGATATGTAAGAATATTTCTTTGCACTAGCTTGGGTTTGCTTGTAAAAAAGCTAGAACTTTATTCTGTTGGCAATTGGTAGCTACTGGAAAGTTTTAAGCAGGGAACTAATGTGATCAGCTCTGAATGTTAGAAAGCTTACTCTGACAGCAATGGCAGTATGGTGGATGTATTGGGCAAGGGCTGCACAGAGGTTCCTTCAGAGGAAGATCTGTATAAAGGTCCATTCCACAGAGGTGATGAGGCCCTATCATCACCCCACTAAAACAATGAGGTCAGCTATTTAGAAAGTAGAAACTACAGAATTTAGTGGAAGGTGAGGGAGAGCAATGGAGGCAGTTGACAACATAGTGGCCAGATCTTTCACCTCCTTTCTGAAGCTGTTCTAGATTGTTCAGAAGTGTTTCTGATACTCCATTGAGCCTGACCATTTGTCAGCTATCTCCAGTTTACTCTCCTTTCTCCTTCCTTCTTTTCTGTCCCACAAATCCACTTATCTTGATCTATTTGATATCCTACATTTTTTTTTTCCTTTTTGTCTTTTTTCGTGTCCGGCAATGGATCGCAACCCTCAGTGTCGCGCCCGTACCAGACCGGGACCGGCAACGGGATCGCAACCCTCGGTGTTGTTCCCACACCTCGCTCAGCCAGTGAGCGGGAACCGGTCTGTATGTGGGATCCAAACCCTTGGCGGGAGCGCCACTGCACTCCCAAGCGGCGCACTGTAGCAGTGCGCCACCGGGCCGGCCCGATATCCTACATTTTTTTTTGTCTTGCTATTCCCATTTTTAGTACATACCTTGATCACACCAGTGTGGTAATAAATTTTCTGAAGGTAAGAATCTAAGGGTAGTGTGGTACAGTGGAAAGAACAGCAACCTGTAAGTCAAAAGGGCTGGTTTCTAGCCCCAGACCTGCCATGAAATTCCTACATGACTTTGGTTAACTCACTTGACTTCTTTGTACCCTTAGTTTTTTCCATGTAGAAAATGAATCTCTAAGGTCTTACACATTTCCATTTGCCTACGTATATAATGCCACATGAGCTTAACAGATACTTTCATGACAATGGTGAGTTCTGCCTTCTCCAATATAGCACTACAAAATGAGAATGATGAATGGTAGGCATCTTGAAAAAGTTTAAGACTAACCTCAGTTAACAAAGGAATAAAGTTTAAGACAGTATTGTATTCTCACACATTCCTCCAGACTAGTAATACTCATGGCTAGTAGGACAATAAGTCTTAGGTTTTCTTCTTTGGAAGTTAAGTGTAGGGTGGCTCTCATTTTATTTACCACACATTTCTTGGAGCCAAAGTGCCTTCATTTGAAATCATGGCTCTGCTACTTGCTAGCTTGTTACCTCGGGCAAGCTACGTAACCTCTCCATGCCTTAGTTTCTTCATCCATAAAATGGGGATAATAGTATATCTATAAAGTTACTGTAGGGATCAAACAAGTTAATTTATGTAACAGCATGTGGGACAGAAAAAGCCTGGATAAGTACCAGCTATTGTTCTTATTATGTTGTAGGCACTAGAGTGCACAAATCTGGTTGGTCCTTCTCCTTAAAGAGCCTGTTGTCTAGTCAGGAAGATTTTCAAACAAATGATTATAATTTAATGTTCTGAGCTCTGTACCAAAGTGTGCATTATGTGGTGTGGGAATAGAGGCAGGAATGCCTGTTTCATCCTAGAGGGAAAGCGGGGGCAGGATAAGCTTCTTGAGGGTAAAGTTTGAACCTGATCCTTAAGGAAGAGACTGTTGGGAACATTTAGGAATACAAAGCAGTCAGAGGAAACATGAGAAAGTAGTTTCTGTGCTGTGAAAGAAAAACGGTTAGGAGAAAAGGAGATGTGAGGTAGTATGTTGTGGCCAGCAGCATCAACATTACTTGGGAGCTTGTGAGAAATATGAAGGTACTTCAAAAAGTTCATGAAGAAATACAATTGGAAGATAATACAATTTTTTCCATGAACTTTTTCAAGTACTCTTGTACAGGATCTAGGCCCTACCCCAGACCTACACAATCAAAATTTGCACTTTACCAAGATCTGTAGGTGGTTCCTATTGAACATTAAGGTTTGAGAACCACTGGTCTAGACCATAGGCTCTGAGGCCAAACTGCTTAGGTTTAAATCCTGGCTTTACCATTTACTTACATGTGACTTTAGGCAAACTATTTAACCTCCTTCCTATGCCTCAGTTGCCTCATTTGTAATTAAGGATAATTATAGTTTCTACCACATAAAGTAGTTGTAAGGACTGAGTTATGTAAAATGCTTAGAACAGTACTTGGCATCTAGTTAGCACAAAGATTAGTTAAAATAATTCAACACTCATGTCACTTCTTACGATCAGGGTCAGTTTTATAAGACCCTTGTCTTTCCATTTCTACTCCATTACCTGTCATTTTGACATTCCTTGTAGAGGAAAGGACACTTGGAGGTCAGAAGACCTGGGGTTATAAAGCCCAGCTCTCTTCAATTCCTAGCTGTAAGTGGGTCAGTTCCTGAACATCTGTGTTTTTCTCATTCGTGACATGGGGGACTTTAATTATACCTACCTCACTGAGATATTGCGAAGCTCAAATCAAAGAAGGTATATAAAATTACAAAATCTTCTATTAACATTTCATTTGCCATCTTTCCGATTGTTCTTAAGCAATTGGCCTCAAAACAGGACGCCCTGCAAGATCAGAGAGAGTGAAGGGAGGGCCACAAGATTAATCTGTCCCACTTCACCATTTTCTGAAGGTGCAGGCTTGGGTTTCAACAATAACAATAATTTTCCTAGACGTCGGAGAGTATTTTTAGCTAATGGGCAAGTAGTAGTAGGAAATTTAAACGCTGTTACTTATTTTCTATTCCTGATTCTGCTTCATTCACGAACATGAACAGTCACACACATTTGCATAGTGGTTCACAATTTATAAAGAATTCTTACCTACACTCACTGTGTATCACAACATCCCCATAGGGTAGTATTAACCCCATTTTTCAAGAAAGAAACTATGTTAATAGGAGAACGCACACTAAAAACTCCTTTTGACTTGAGCATTTCTACCGGATCCGATGTTGTCAAAAGCACAAAACTTAAAGAGGGAGGGCAACCACAAAACTTGATTGGATCTTCAACAGTACCAGGCACTGGCTTCGATTTTGTGGCCGCAAGTAACTATAAATTGGACCCCTTTTCTCACGTAAAATCGGGGCGACAAGACCTTCTCCACAAAATTGTCGTGTGATTAAGAGCAAAGTCTGAGGGTGAACCTACCACGTCGTAGGACCTCAAATAAATCCCTTTTCCTTCTTGCCTTTGACAAATATACCACGAGATATCAGTATCATTCCCACTTCACACGTGAAGGAACCCGAAGTCGAGAACGCTTGGGTTCCCCTTCTCTACTTGCGACTCTGTAACCCTAGATCGGGTACGGGAAACAGCGATGTCCCCTGCGTCAGTTCTCGTAGCGGGGATTATCTCTCTTCGAGCTGCCGTATGAGGTACGAAAGGCCGTTGATAATTGCCTCCATGATTCTGAGAAATCCGATTCTAATCCTCAATGGGGCTTCAGGGACAAAGCTGTCTTCCTACCGTCCCTAACCTGGCTAAAGGTCGCCGCAAAGCCTCAGCTCCAGCTGCCGACGCCATTTTGGCTGCTACGTGTGACGCTACACGTAGCGGAGCGCGCAGCCGATTGGCTGGGAGACAGCAGCCCGGAGGAGAGGCGCGCGAAGCCAGAGAGAGGGGTATATAGTTTCTCCAAGGAAACTACAACCCCAGACTTCCTTGCGCGTGCGACGGCAAACCTGAAGCGAAAGAGGATGGACCGTGTCTTAGGACCACAAGTCCCAGCACCCTCCGCGATGTCTGTTCCTTTCGTAAAGCGGAGGAAAAGAGGGACAGGATAAATGGAGGCCTTTTGGTGTCCGTTCTCCGAAGGGCGGGAAGGGCGAACTACACCTCCCGGCTGGCTGCGCGCCGCTGCGCCTGCGCCTTCATACCTGTCGCCATCTTGCCCCTTCTGAGGCACCGCAAACAAACCCAATTCCTGGTGTCCCTTAGTCTTGGCGGAGGAGCCTTTTAGATGAGCCCCGAAAGGCCGGGCAGGTGGGTGACTCTCAGGCAGGGTCCTGGGAAGAGCTGGCAGGCCAACCAGGCTAGAGGAGCGCCGGGCCAAGCATTCGGAGCCCGGCTTTGGGTACCCAGCGCCATCCTCCGTTGTTTCCTAACGGGATCGTGGGGCTCCCTGAGATGGACTGAGGGGGACTATGGCAGGCCTGGTGCTGGGACCCCGGGGTCCAGTTCTGGGAGCTTCCGGGTGAGTCCAGGTCGTCTGGCTGGCTGTCCGCGCACCTCCTCTCTCTCCGTTGTCCTCTCGGTGGAGGAGGGAACGAGGCGCGGATGCCGGCGGGGGCCCCTGACACCAGCTACGGGCCCCAAGGGGCTTGGTCGTGGGCTTGACATTGGGATCGGCGCTGAGAGGCACGGGTGAGGAGCCTGGGCTGGCTGCTCTTGTGGTGGTGCTGCGAGAGTGCGTGTTTGGAGAGGGGGCGGGGCGGGCTTGCCTTCTGACACTTGAGTGGGGGAAGGATTATACGAGATCTCGGTTCCCCGAGCAGACTCCAACTACTGCCCAGGTCCGATGCGGTGCGGCCCCGCTGTGGTGTCTACCGGCGGGGACACGTCGGGATGCCGTGACGTGGTGCTCGATTCGGGCGGTTGCCGGCCGCCTCCAAGATCCTGTCGGGAGGCGGGGACTGACTTGTGGAGGGAGCGGATTCCTTGACTCTGCCCCTTCTTCCTCTTCCCCACCCCTTTTCTTTATGTCATTCTGCCGTCTGGGGCGCGCAGTCCAGTTCTCCTTGGTTTTGAGTTGAGAGGACTATGGGAAGTAGGGGGAGGGGGCTCAACTCAGGGCGTAGAGTTGGAATTAGCAGCCTCAGCGCCTGGAACTGGATATAGCAGTTTTTTCGGTTCGGTGTCTTACTGCTAGGCTAGACAGTGAGCCCATTCATTCATTCATTAATTTTACTCACTCCCGTCAGCCGTTCATTTATCCATTTAACAAATATTTACAGCTGGTCTACCGTGTGCTAAGCAGGTATTGTGCAAGCCCCCAATCCTGTCTTTTGTCCTTTAGACGAGGGAATTCCCAGTACGAATTTGGTTCCTGGTATCTAGACTTTTGGTAAATGGTTATCTAATGACTACAGGTTCTAAATTCATAGTTCATTGTTAAGACTCGAGAAAGTTCTTTGTTAAGTTCCATTAACCCAAATAATGTGCTGGGAGCTTTACATATTCTCATGTAACTCTTAAGTGTGGAATCCGACAGAAGTCAAGTAACTTGCCCAAGGTTACACAGGTTGTAGCGCCTGTTTATTAAATTACATGCCAGACACCACGAAAGAACGTTACATACAGTGTGCTTTAATACTCATAACAAACTGGGTGGTATTACCTCTGTTTTATAGATGTGTAAAACTTAGGCTCAGAGAGAACGATTTACCCAGGATCACACAACCAGTAAGATGAAAAGCTGCAACTAGAACGTAGAGGTGTCTCACTCTAAAGCCTTTGACTCTTTTCACTGTGGTAGGCTGGAATGATAAGCTCTCAAATGGTTGTTTAATTCTTCATTTGTCGGAAGTTGGAAAGTGTGCTGATGAAAAAGGATTGTGAGGTATCTTACTGTTTTTACTTCTTATCCGGTGGATGGATAACTGGGTGAGTAGCCATTTGAATGTACTTTGGTAATTTGATATTTTGGTTTTTTGTTCTGGTAGGGAAGACAAGCTCTTTGGGGCTACTAAACAGAAGCAGCAATGCCTGTTGTGTGGCCAACCCTTTTGGATCTCAGCAGAGATGAATGCAAAAGGATTCTTCGAAAATTGGGTATGATTTTCATTTTTGATGTTTTATATCTCTATGATACTTTTCCCTTCTGTTTGTGTCATGGCTGTCTGCATAGATGTCATATTTCTTGCTACATTAGAAATTCTTTGGAAGTATAGTCCCCATCTTACTCATTGTTGTTTCTCCAGTGCCTAGCATAGTGCTTTGTATTTGGTAGGTACATGAATCATAACAGTAATAGTATCTAAGAGTTACAGAGGGCTACTTGGCTATTCTGAGTCCCTTACATTCAACATCTCGTTTAATTCTCACTCAAACCTAAAAAGGTAAGGGTTTCTTCCCACCCACCTCGGCCTCCATTTTACCAGATGAAGCTTAGAACCCGAGGTAATGCTGATAGTAAGTCATGGAGTCAGTATTTGAACCCAGGGAATATGCTTTCAGTCTCACTAGCATACTCTTAACCTTTATAAATTTATGGGTAAATTACATACTGTTTCTTAATTCTACATTAATATAAGCTGTGCTCACTTTTCCAAATTATATTTTATTATCAATAATAAAACACACTTTTCACTTATAATTTATTTTTTAGTGCTTTTTCCCTTTATTCTTGTCTTTCTCAACCAGCATTTAGGGAGAGAATTAAGTGCTTAATGGCAAGGCATCCATTGTATGTAGTGAATTAACTTCTCCCATGTATCTAGAATGGTATTAGGTATGTACCATCCTTGGGAAAATTGAGAAAGAGTTACTCAAATCATTTTCTGTGTTCTGTGATTCAAATGAGGATCCTTGGTTGAGAAATTCTTAGACTATAAGGAATGTATTGTCTCATTTACCACTGCAGCCTCGGGCTAGCACAATAAATGAAATAAATGAAAAATTAACTTGAAAAAGAACAATAAACATATTGGCAGTGGATATGAATTATTTAAATAGCTATGATTTTGAAGGGGAAAGTGTGGGTCTTGAATTCATACAGACCTGGGGCCTTGGTCCTATTACTAACGACCCCTGTGACGGAGAACAAGTTATTTAATCTCCTTAAATTTGTTGATACTTGTAAACGAATGGTAATAATATCTGCCTCATTAGTTTGTTATATGTATTAACAGTATATATAAAGGGCTTTACACAGTTCCTGAAGTGTGAGTATATAGTGTTTAAAGCAGATGCTTTCAGACATTTATTTATTTGAAGCTGAATTTCTTCTTCAAAGGGAAACCTTTGTTGGGAAGTCCTGTATGTAAATCAGAATCATAGCTGCTCTGGCTCTGCCTGCTAATAACTTTTGCCCTTTTTATTTCCACTCAGGCCTCTATGAGTATTTCAAACTGTTTCTTAGCATTGTATTTTACCAAGTCAAAGAGAGTTGGTTTTTTTTTTGGGGGGGGGGTGAGTTATGGCTGGGGTGTCAAACATTCCTTTATATATTTTTTTAACCGTGTATCCAGACTTTAGCACTTATTTGAAGATAGTTTTCCACACACTTACATGCAGTTAATATAACTTGCTAGCTGCAGATTGTAAAGTTTGACTCGTATTTATTTCATAGCAAAAATAATTGCAGAGGAACAGATCACAAAGGCAGTAGATTGGATTGGATTTCTTGGTTTTTGGGACCTTTAAACAAGAGATTGTGTTTAAATATAAAAATGGTAACCTTTAAGTCTAAATTTATCTCTGATTTTAGTCAGAGCTGTGTGGGTAATGCTACTGGAAATTTTCTTCTATGTGAAAGAAAACAGCCACCCTACATGGTAATGTTATCTTCAATGAACTTTTCACTTTGGCAGGTGAGCCCTGACAGTGATTTACCAAAAGACTTCCTCCCCACAGGTTCGTTCATTATCATAACAATGAAACTTTGAATTGCCTTCAAGTATAGCTGTAGGCCCGAAGTTTAGGGAAAGTACTGTCTTTAAGAATTAACTTAAAATATTTTAAAAATTAGTTTTTTCCTTTTAAAAATAGTTATAAATCATTTTAATGTAAGTTGTTAAGCACTTAGATTTTACATAATTAAGTATAAAAGAATTGGGATGGAGAATTTCTTTATGGTATACTGAACGTACCAGTGATAAATGCTTCCTTCCTTCTGGCCTGCCTCTCCCTTGCTCTATTTTTATGACCATTCCTGAGCTGTAACTCTAACATGGGGCTTTATGGACAATAATATAATTGAATATCTGAATAGTTTAAATGGAACGAGTTGAGGGCTTTATAAAAACATTTTGACAAATCTTTTGTTTTCTAGTTTTTCCTATTTGTTTATTATTTCATTATATTCATGTGTTATTCAAATTAACACTGCCATAGAATGGAACCAAAAATACTATCAGAAATTCGACTGTGTTTGTGATATGTCAGGATCTGAGAATAGCCATCAAAATGGACATCAACAAATGTGAAGGAGGTTGGGAAGCTAATAAGGGTTTTTTTTTGCAACGAGTGAATTTCTGGAGAAAGAAAGTGCCTTGGATTGTATAGCAGTGATAACAGTCCCAGTTTTGTGCATGTGAGATTGCCAACTCTTAATTTTGTTCCTGGGCTTTGTGATTAGACTTGAAATGAGACTTGAAATATCAGAAATATTTGTCAAATTTCTTTAGTTAATTTTGTTTTCTTTGAAATAATGTCTTGATCACCATAAATTCCACAGGTCAAAGGTAAACTTCTTTTTCTTTTTGCTCAAACCACTTTCTCTCTTTGGCATCTCCATTTCTTTTTATGGCATTGCCATTCTCCTAAATATTTTGCAAATTGCAAAACATGACTCCTTTCATTCTGCCATTACTTCCACAGTCAATCAATTATTTAGTCCTATCAAATAAAAAATTTTTAGACTGGAATTAGACGCTTTTCTCATCTGGCCACAAACTAGTTTTCCATTTTTTTTTTTTTTTTTTTAAAGATGACCAGTAAGGGGATCCCAACCCTTGACTTGGTGTTGTCAGCACCATGCTCTTCTAAGTGAGTTAACCGGCCATCCCTATATAGGGTTTTGAACCCGTGGCCTTGGTGTTATCAGCACTGACTCTCCCAAGTGAGCTACAGGCCAGCCCTAGTTTTCCATTTTTATCTTTCTCTATTCTCATATGTGAACTAAAATCTTTATAATAGTGATTTGTTTATATTTCTTAGGTCCTTTGTTGGATTTTAGCCATCTTGAAGATAGGGGCTTTGTTTTTTTCCAATAAATATTCTCCATGGTACCTTGTAGTAGTAATGTTCAATTAGTAGTTTGGTTTAAATTAGTTACTATCCAAGTATAGACATATTTTTACTACCCTTAGTGTAAAACTCTCAAACATAGTCACTGATTGTTACTAGAATAATATGAACCATTATCTCCTCTTTTACTGTTTCTTCCTTTTACACATTTGGATTCCTGCCCTTGCCCTGCCTGAAACATAGTTCTCTGTCTGATTAAAGCTTATGTATGCTTCCAGACTAGAGGACTTGTTTCTCCTTTGTGCCTTTCCCACTGAATGTAAACTGTATCATAATTGTCTGATGACTTGTTTCACTGTAGCTCTATTCTAGAGTTAACTCCTTGAGGGCAGGACTTAGCACACTATAACGGTGTATATAATAGGACTCAATATTGATTTGTTAAATAAAATATTCCGTAAATGGGGGCATAAACTTTTAGTGAATTATTAGTTGGTTATCTCTAGTGCCTTTCCGAACTCTATTCTGGGTCTGATAAAACCTGAAATACGTTTTTTGGAACTAACTATTTCCTTTACTACTCTAGAGTAGCAGAGCTTTATCCCTGAAGAGAGATCCCACGAAATGTCTACACAGTATCCAGTACAGATTGAACATGCAGGACGTTTATACTTAGGGTAATTCAGCTGGACCAAACCAATGTAGTCAGCCCACTCTCCTATATAAAGCTTCCTTTTGACAGAACTGTGAATAATTTGAACTGAATGAGACTATTAGTTTATTATTGGTGTAGTACCCAGTCTGCCGGCATGCATATATTCATTATTTGGCTCACATTTATTGTTTGTTGTGTGTCAGGCATTGGCAAATAGAAAATACTTGTAGCAACTTGAGTATAAAGATAACTCTAGTTTGGACGTTTAGTCCCACCGTTCTGTTTTGCTCATGTACACTGGTTTCATAGTGTTAATGGTTTAAAACAACAACTATTTTTTATCATTTCTCGCCATCTTTTGGTTACTGGCTTTGTCTGAGCTCTCTTGTGGCTGTATTCAGCTAGTAGCTTCATTGGGGACTAGGCTCAGCTGAGATGGCTTGGCCTCTCTCTTCATGTGGCCTTTCATTCCAGGTTCCTTCACAACTTCATGATCTCTTCAAGTTCCGAGAGAGCAAGGACCCTTGTGCAAGTGCTGAGCAAGCATCTATTTGCATCGCATTTGCTGATGTTTTGTTGGCCAAAGCAAGCCACATGCCAAGACTACAGTTAGTGTGGGAGAGGACTATACAAAGAAAGTACACAAGGGCTACACTGGGAGGCATGCATAGTTCATTGGGGGCCATTGAGGTTTTATATTTTAACCAGTTCTAGGGACTGACAGTTTCATTTCATAATGGTTTTCCTCTATGGAAAGAGTGAAATGAAACTGATATTAGGATTCAGTATATAATGTCCTGGTTGCTGTAAGAACATTTCATGTCTCCTACTAGTCATTTTTAGTAGTTTTTATAGATGCAGAGGATCTTAGATCTACACAGTCCCTTCTAGATAAGGAAACAGGTTCAGAGATGAGAACGGACTTGCCCAAGATCACACACCTAGTAAGTGGCAGTGTTGGAGCCAGAATCTTCTGTTCCAGTTATTTTTTCAGTTGCATCGTACTTTTACATACACAGGAGGGAGTTGGAATACAGTTTGAATTCTCAGGCAGGCCTAAGGAATTATTTCAAGGGTTCATCAGTGAAGGTACCTTTTAATAATGCTAAAACCTTATTTTATCAGCCTTATTATATCACTTGGAACTTGCTCCCAGTTGTTGATAATATCTGAGTTAAAATGTTCTTCAGTGATAATATATGACACAAAATATCTACTGTTAGGTTTTTCTACCTAAACATTTTACATAACTTCTGTGAGGCAGTGAAAAACAAAATGATATAAAATTATGCAAGCCACATTTTAATCTGCTATGAGATAAAATTTTTGAAAAGAAAAATTAAAAACTCTTGATTTGATTGATTTTTAGGTTTCTTGGCCTGAAGTTTCACTATACATAGCCATGGTTTAAAAATATTAAAGGTGTATCTTGATAAAATAATTTTCTTCTTTTAGAATTGGAGGCATATGCTGGAGTTATCAGTGCACTTCGGGCACAGGGAGATCTCACCAAGGAAAAGAAAGATCTTCTTGGAGAACTCTCAAAAGTTCTTAGGTAAACTATCATAAAAGTTTGTGAGAAGTAACTCTAGAAATTTCATTTTGAGGGGTTTCATTACTTTTCACTCTCGAATTAAGTAACTCTTTAGTTGAAGAACAGAGGTGTTCAAATTGTGTGCTTTGTTACAGAAAATTGTGTAATTTACCATTTATTGTGTAATCAATCAGAAAGGGTAAGACAGGTTATTTTTGTTTTGGGCCACCTGGGAAGGGGAGGTACTTTTTTTTTTTTCCTTTTTGTCTTTTTTTACTGACCGGTAACGGGATCGCAACCCTCGGTGTCACGCCCGTACCAGGGACCAGCAACGGGATTGCAACCCTCGGTGTCGCGCCCGTACCAGGGACCGGCAACGGGATCGCAACCCTTGGTGTCGCGCCCGCACCGCGCTCAGCCAGTGAGCGGGAACCGGTCTCCACATGGGATCCGAACCCTCGGCAGGAGTGCCGCGCTCCCAAGTGGCGCACTCTCCAGTGCGCCACCAGGCCGGCCCGGGGGAGGTACTTTTGACATAGGTGAAGGAAAGAGCTGGCAGCAACTGGAATTTATTAGAGGGAAGAAGGGGATGAAGGAAAATACCTTAATTTATGTAAGTGGGTGATTATGTAGTCATAGCCTTAAGCATCATCTGTCCCTTCAGCTTCCTGCTAGAGTGACCCTTGAATTCAATAAACAATTCTAGTGAAAGGGGTTCCTTAAAGTTTCCTTGATCCATTCTAATATCTTGAGCTTTTTCAGAAAATGTCCTGTTTTAATTCGTTTCCTTTCTACATTTAAAACCATTTGTCCTATTCTTTTTTTAAGTGAAAATATGTAAAGAGCTCTTCCTATTATTTAATTAACATTAATATAGGGATGTTATTAAGCCAAATTCTCAGTCTTATTGTTTTCATGTATTATATTTATATTTTTTGTTTGTTGTTTTTATTTCCTCATAAATTCCACTTTCTGGCCCCTTAAATGTTTTGGTCCATGCTATAGATTTAGCCTTAGTAGTAAAGCATATAATTGGAAGAGTGGTATTCATTTTATTAAGTATTTATGAATGGAATGGGTATAGTTTTTTTTGTTTTTGTTTTTAGTTGTTAGTATTATTAATTTTACAGATGTTTAATCAGGACTAATACAAGCACATTCTTACCATTGATAATACAATGTAGAAGGTACACAGCTGAAGTGTTGAGTAATAAAGAAGTGTTATGATGGTGTCAGGTTTCATGGCATATAGCCACAGGAAACATTATCTTGCCACTCTCATTTCTTTATTATATTCACTGAACATAAAATTATAGACTCTTAAGCTTTAGAAGAAGAATTTCTTCTGAGTGCCAAAATCCTCTTCGCAGCAGTCATGATTAGGAGTTCATTCAGCATCTATTTGCATATTTAGGTAACAGGAAGCACTGCTAGTCTTGTACATAGTCTGACATTTCTGAGATTTGGTAGTAATGCCTTATATCAGGCTGAATTTGTCTTCCTGTGATTTCTAATTTGCTACTAATTCTTTCTGCCTTTATACAGAATTAGTATGAATCCTTTTCTAAGACTTTAAAGCATTTGAATATGTATACGAGGGTACTTCAAAAAGTTCATGCAGAGATTCATATTATCTTTTAGTTCTATTTTTCCACGAGCTTTTTGAAGTACGCTTGTATTAGGCTCCTGTCGATATCTTTTCAAAAAGCAATCTTGTCCCTCTCCCCCATCCCCATCAAACAAAATATTGACTTAAACATTAATAAAAGCATAGAAAAGAGCTGCCTGCTTGGCAGAGTTCTATAATGGCTATTTTTCTTCATAGCATCTCAACAGAACGCCACCGTGCTGAAGTTCGGAGAGCAGTAAACGATGAACGGTTAACAACAATTGCACATAAGTAAGCCATTAGTCATACCACCCCTCATTTTTTTATGACATAGTATAACGTAGTTTTGAAACAGTCTTCCTATTGTGTAGCAGATTCCTGAGTCTTTTATCTTAATAACAATATCTCTATTCTCAGGGATCCTGACCATAGGGGTAAAAGTGGTGTTAACTGTTTATTCAATTAGTTATGCTTTTTGCATTTTGTCAGGCAAGCTTTAAGTACTCAGGTCAAGTCCTGTTAAAATGTAATCTCTGTATAACTAAAGACCTCCACAGTTTAACAGATGATTCACTTAACTGAAGCAAAATACAATAACAAGTAGTGTCCCTCCTAAAATTGACAGCCCCTTAGAGGTTCTTTGTAATGGCAGTTGATATGTATATGGCTTTATAAATAGGCATTGTAACTTTTTTGATATCTGACTCTAATTATTTCATGTATTTTGAGATTCAGAAAAAAGACTGTAAAATATATATGATTATATCTTAAAGATATGTGAGATATAATATAAATATATCATATTATAAGAAATAAGGATATAACATATCTTAATTGACTTTGAAAAGCCAACAAAATAAAGATAAAGCCAACAAAATAAAATGATAAAGAATTTTTATACAGTTCTTTTCAGATCATTATAACTATTTGACAGAATAGTTGAAAAGAAAAATTAAAAACTCTTGATTTGATTGATTTATAGGTTTCTTGGCCTGAAGTTTCACTATACATAGCCATGGTTTAAAAATATTAAAGGTGTATCTTGATAAAATAATTTTCTTCTTTTAGAATTGGAGGCATATGCTGGAGTTATCAGTGCACTTCGGGCACAGGGAGATCTCACCAAGGAAAAGAAAGATCTTGGAGATGGGTGGAGGGAGATGGAGGATGAGGGCAGGGATCAAGAATTAGCTGAGTATGTATGGAGACAGTGCCTCCTAAAGAACAGAAAGGAACAGAAATTATCCTTTAAATGTTAATACAAGACCATGGAAACATAACATATGGTTTTTTATTTTTATGTTTTAATGTAAAATAAAACTAAATGAAAAAATTTCGTGCATTTCTATAATGTGATAATTTGAATAGTGTATTTAAACCGATTGGCAGTATTTGAATTGACCCCAAAGATCTATTAGTTTCATGTTGTACTTCACTGTCCCTCATTTTACTTAACATATAAAATGGGGTGCTACCTTTTTAACAGCATACTTTGAAGATTTAACTGTTTATTTTGAAATTTTGAGATTCTTCAGTGGTAGGTATGTATTGTAGAAATTTTCCATTAGAGACATTTAGTGTTTAGTTGTCAGGCTAACATGGTTGAAACATTCAAATATCAATGTATTTCTTCTTTAAGTTGCTCTAAAGTTTTGAATTGGGATGTTCTAAAAATAATGATAACTGAGCCTAGATTCTAATTTGAGGATGGGCAATAGGAAATTTATGTGCTAAATAGCAAAATAGTAAACAGTAGGTTGCATTCAGAGGCACTTAGAAACAAAAATTAGTACCTTAGAAGGACTGAAACAATATTGTGGGGCAACTAGTTGTACATTGATGCATCAGTTTCATACTTAAAGGATAACATTTATTTAGTCTCCTTTTCCTTTTTTCCCCTTTAAAGAATGAATTTATCCTTATATTTGGGTGAAAGACCAAGTTACAGGTATGCAAATAGGTTATTATTATTTCAGGCTTTTTCTTGTATTTATTTCCAAATTGAAGCTCTCAATTATTCAAGGGCACATTATTCCATTTATGAATTAACCATGCCCCTTGCTTTTCCTTTTCTTCCCCTCCTTCCCCTCCTAATACTGCCCACCCTTTAGCCATTTTGCTGCTTGGGAGTACCTCTAGTCAGAGGGTGGGAAGGGAGAGGAGGTGAAAATTTTAGTCGTTTTACTGTTTGTTAGTTGTCCTGGAAAAGGTTTGGTGGAAGAATTTGCAAGTATTTGCCAAAATATTTTTGTATACTATATGGGTTTCTTTAATCTATTTGACCTCTCCCTTTCCCTCCTCTCTCCATTAGCATGGATAATTGAGAGTTGGCTTTTATCTGCCTGTGTTTCTTTTTTTCTCTCCTTTCTGATTTCTTTAATACATGAATTTCATTTTTTGAAAAGTTTACTTCATTGTATAATTTTAAGCTTCTTAGGTCTTTCTGCACTCCTGTTTTAATATTTTATATTATGGTTTTAGTTTGACCAGACGTTGTTTTTACTTGTTGAGCCCAAGCTTCAGTGAGTGGGGATTGATGAGGAAGGAATAGATTCCTCATTTTCTCCGTCTCCTCTGCCTTCTTCCTCTCAGAAGTAGCAACAGAGCCTAGTTCCAAAGGTCATTTATAGGAGGGCTTTATGCTCTGAGCCTGAAAAAACAACTAGAGGAATGCATCTGAATAGACTGCATTCCCTTTCTCCTCACCCTTCCCTCCCCCACTACAAATAGCAGTTTAGGCCAGAAGGAATGTGGTTGAAAGGTGATTGAGCACAAAGGATGGGGAAACAAAAGGAATAGGGTGTCTGGGATCAAAGAAAAGCTTGCTTGTGGCTTGAACTATTAACATGTGTTTATTGTTTGATACTCAAATTCACTTTTGAATTATGTCAGAATATTACAGAATTAAAGCCTTGGATGTCAAAGAGCTTCAGATTTTTTAGTGGAGCCACTCTTGCCCACACTGTCTCTACAGTTTGAAGAATTTCTCCTCTCTTAATCCTTTTCCCATTAGTCAGATATTAACAGGATGCTGTGTGTGTTTCTGTGTGAGTATGAGGTTTTGTTTACTGGTGCCCTGTACACCAAAGGATGTGAAAACCAAGGTAGTTGTGTTAGTATCATCTTAGATTTTCTCAGAAAAGGAGCTGGAGAAACATTTTCATCCTCCCTTGCTATACTTAGTATAAATAGAGATGCATTCTTTTTTTTTTGTTCATAAAAGATGACCGGTAAGGGGATCTTAACCCTTGACTTGTCAGCACCATGTTCTCTGAAGTGAGCTAACCGGCCATCCCTATATAGGGATCCAAACCCGTGGCCTTGGTGTTATCAGCACCACACTCTCCCAAGTGATCCACAGGCCGGCCCTAATAGAGAGGCATTCTTACCTTGAAACTAAGGTATCCCAGTGAAGCCTTGCAGTAAGATGTTTAGTCTGTAAAATTCGGTTTAGATGACTTGTGCAAACTAATGCATATTTATACCCTTATACTCCACAAATAGGAATTTTTGATCTGATTCTAACATATTTAATTTTTTACTCACTTAAAAATAATTAGAGCATATTTGCATGAGTGGAAATTTGGAAGATTTATAGATCTTTCTAAAAGTTGCAGTTGTTTCTTTTGCACTGCAAGTTTTGTCTTTTCAATAGCATATATTCATGTGCTTCACATTATTAATCTTCCATAATTTCTGCCACCATTTAAACAATGCACCAGGTAAGTGTAGATATCACTTTTTTGTGTAGTAAACTCTTACCAAGCAAGTTTATTAGTGGTATTCTAATAAAATGATAGCAAAATAGGAGTAAGCCAAGAAAGTGCTGAATAGCTTTTAGAATTTTTTTTCTTTAATAGTTAGCTATAGCCCCTTTCTGTCTTTCTTTCTTGTTTGTACCATTCTTTGTTTCAGAACTAGTATCCTCTTGGAGATTATATAGTAACAAATTTGTGAGAGTTATTGGGGTCTTAAGATCTCCTCTTTTCCTTATCTTAGGTACGACTGTGTTAAGCCATGAGGGAATTTACAGATTTTGCATAGTAACCTAATTGGATTCATCAGCTCCTTGAAATTTCTTTCTGAACCGAACTTAACCCCTTCTTAACTTGTAATTTATTCCATTCAGTGAAAGTTGGTAGTGTCTAATTATCTAAATTGATAATTTCAGTGCCCAATTGATGTAAATCAAAGGCAAAAGTTAGACATAAAATCCATTTGAAAAATTTTCTACTTTCTGTTTATGATGTGGCATGTAATTTCAGTAGCATGATATATGCTTGTTGAAGGAGATATGTATTAGTTGTGTGACCTTACGCAAGTTATTTAACCTCTTTGTGACTCAGTTTCCCTATCTGTAATAATACTACCAACTTCATAGGATTGTTGAGAGAACTTTATGAGTTAATGCATGTAAAATGTTTAGAACAATGCCTGACATATAGTAAATTCTCAATTGATGTTAACTATCATCATCATCATCATCATCATCATCATCATTATCATTATTCCACTGTCCACTAACAAGGGCTTTTGTGTACTCCATCTAAATCTAGAATCAGTGTATAGACAGAGTCCTAAACTCTAGGTTGGGTTGTAGAATCTATGGTTTCAAAAAAAGTGTAGAAATTTCTGATTTAGTGAAGAGATTGTTTCTGGGTGAATTTTAAAATTCGACACTAATTATTAGTCAGGGTCTTTCATGGAGCCATAGCAAGAGAAGTGACACAGCTACCTTTTGATATTCCAACCTCTGGTTGGATTCCTGGGATAAAACTCGCTTAAGAAATTTAGGGTAGAGAAACTGCAAGTGGTGTCTGCTTAGAGATAGAGCTCAATTGCCTCAAATCTTTCTTAGAGTGAAGGGTGGTATAAATAAAGTAGTGGCAAGTTTCTTCCAGTGTCCTCAGATCTAGTCTATTTTTTAACAGGAAGGATAATAATATAATACATTGTCAATGACACATGCTGTTATATACAAGGGTACTTTTAAAAGTTTGTGGAAAAATAGAATTAAAAGGTAATACGAATCTTTCCATGAACTTTTTTTTTTTTTTGACTGGTAAAGGCATCGCAACCCTTGGCACAGTGAGTGCATGGGCCATCCCTATATAGGATCCGAGCCCACGGCCTAGGTGCTACCAGCGCCGCACTCTCCTGAATGAGCCACAGGGCTGGCCCTTTCCATGAACTTTCTGAAGTACCTGCACATACTTGTACAGCCCTCTTCTATTCTTCACTACTAGTCCCCCTTGTTTACTGCATCAGTTTCCTTTGTTTGAAAGCCTTAGAACCTCTGGCCATGCAGGCAGTTAGACAATTTTGCAAAGGTTCAGTGAATTCCATCCTCAATTATTAAGGAAAATCTGATTTTTAAAATTATGATTGCTTTTTACTTTATTGGTTTAATTACAAAATTAAGTTCTAAAAGTTAGTAGAAATACTAGTTTTCATTAGTGATACCAGATTTAAATTAATAAAACCAGCATCAATATGTATTTAGAAGGCATAGGAAAATTTTTTATAGTTTCACTTATATTCATTATAAGATTCAGATTATAGAATAAAATGTGTAAGAACCCAAGTGTGTGACATTCCTTGAACTGTGATTATTTATACCTTTGATCTTGCTTGCTTAAAATAAAACCTCTTCTGTTCACTCGGCACTTTTTATAATTTAAAAAGTTATATTTGCTTTTAGTGATTGAGAACCCTTGTAGCAGCATTTTCTTTTTTGTTTAGTATGTCTGGACCTAATAGCTCTTCAGAATGGTCCATTGAAGGTCGTCGATTGGTACCGTTGATGCCCCGGCTTGTTCCCCAAACAGCCTTCACTGTAACAGCTAATGCTGTTGCCAATGCAGCTATTCAGCATAATGCATCTCTTCCAGTGCCTGCAGAAACAGGAAGCAAGGAAGGTGAGTAGAAAATATTTCTGCGTTAGAGATCACTGTTCTCAGAATCTTCAAGAAAAGTTGTTTATTTTTTATCTACTTTTATCCCAGTGGTAAAAAGTTATGAAACATAGTGGACAATTCTGATTCTGAAACTAGAAACAACAAAAATTAAATCTTCCTTTTTTTTTTTTTTGTTTGGCGGCTAGCCAGTATGGGGACACCAACCTTTGACCTTGGTGTTATTAACACTGTGCTCTAACTTGCCAGCCCCTAAATCTTACTTTTGTTTAAAGTGTGAGTTATGTTAATCCCAAAATTGCAAGAAAGCCTTCCTGAAGTGAAGTTTTGTCATCACTGTATCTTATTAGAAGTGAATAGAAGGCCTAAGGTGTAACATTAGAAAATGAATAAAATGACAGGAGTTATTTAGCTGCTGGAAAAGATGCTGAACTGATAGCTTTAGAAAATGAAGCTCTGTTTTTGTCTTTTGGAATCAATGGAATATGCTATTTCTCTGTTCTAATCAATGTGCTGAATCCATTACCTGGCAGACAGAAAGACTTTCTTATTGTTATTTAATCTAGTAATTGACACTTGCTTTAAAAATTATTGAATCCTCCTGAGGCTACGAAGAGGAAGAGTAATATTAAATTTGAAGAGAGCATTTTGGATTGACTCCAGAACTTAGTTTGGTGTTGCATGACAGTGACCCTGAAAACAATGCATTTATCAGATTACTGTAGAGAATTATCTTTTCTTGCTGAGCAGTGGGCTGTGGAGCAGAGTGAGACACTTCTTGTTATGCATGCCAGGGTCTGTTTTAGGCTGAAGGAAGCTATATTTGGAGGGAGACAGTTATCAGTGTGCAACTTGGCCTCCATTGAGTTTCTGTTTTCTTCGTTGTTGGAGAGGATCTTTCCTCCCTTCCCACTTTTACCTTTTCCATCTAACTCTCTGGTAGAGTGTAGACTGTAGAATTTCCAATAGTCAAATCTATGTTCTAGTCTTAGTTTGCCATTTCCTAGCTATGTAACCTCCAGCAAGTCTTAGCTTCTGTGAGCCTCAGGGTCTTCATCTTTAAAATGAAGATGTGGTATTGTGAGAATTAATAATAATGTATGGAAAGGATTTAGCACAGTACACGGTACCCAATAAATGGTACCTATGAGCTATTCTTTCTGTTGTTGAGCTGTGTTTCTTCACTGAATGATAAGGGGGAAATATGATGTCATTATTTTAGTTGAATTATTGTTGTACCACTTGGATGGCAGATGACTAGTGAGTTGGTTTATAAAAAAGAACCTTAGCTTAGTTCTTCCCTAGTAGCCATGTTGGCAATTGTTGTGGTTAGGGAAAAATTATCCATTACTCCATCATTGGTGCTGTTATTAGTATTAAAAGGGAATACAAGTATGTGCCTATTGTCCAACTCCTGCCATAAATAAAAAGTGATTTTCATTTATCTCACTATAGTTTTAAGCTTGATTTCTTTGTAACTGTATTCTTCTCTGTTGGCAATGTCACCTATAGACATTGCCAACAGAGAAGGTGACATTGTTGGCAATGTCACCTATAGACATTGCTGTTAAATACTTGGGGAAAACGCATTTAAGTGATGATTTTTCAGGAGAGGTTATTAATACCTTTTTACCTGTGGACCTAATACCTAGTATTGGCCTATAATTTCTGATCACATTAAAATGTTAAAGTTGGCCTGCAATTATAATAATTTCTCTGTATGCCTGGACAGTTTTTGTGAAAGTTAACAGCAAACTTTTTTATCGTTCCTTCAGTAGTGGTTTGCTATTCCTACACAAGTACCACGTCAACCCCAACCTCTACCCCTGTTCCAAGTGGCAGCATAGCAACGGTTAAGTCTCCAAGACCTGCCAGTCCTGCCTCCAATGTAGTTGTCTTGCCAAGTGGAAGTACTGTTTATGTCAAAAGTAAGTGATATTCTCAGTGTTATCAGGGCCATCTTGGCTAAATGCTGCAGTATAGGTTCTGATTAGATCTGTCTTCCTATATTAAATCATCAGTTCACTAGCTATTAGCAGTGGTTAGTTTTTGAAGGTTCCAAAGAAATTCTTTCTTTACATGTGACTAGGTATATATTGCTTTTTAATCAGTTCTAGGGTTTGAGAAATGACTTCTTTTTTATTCTCTGTGGGCAGTCTGCCTTTGAACAGTGCTGTCCTTCAAGCATTCACTTGTTTTGATTGCCATGGAATATAAATGTTGTGAATAGAAACTGAAAGAATGTTTTTATGTGATTTATTCAATGTTTACTCCTATAGTGATAATCTTGGCAGTATTTTCTTAAATTATTTTATGTAACATATTATCTAACCTTAGGTTCATTGATGCATTCTAGAGTTTATCTTTAACATTTCTAGTTCACTGATTTTGATGTTTTTTTATTTGCAGTTTTAACATCTTGATTCTACTCTATAAAGCAGCCTGATGTTTTAAATTTCATGTATGTCAGTGTTGCTTTTTATTTTATTTTTAAATTTAATTTAATTTTTTATTTTATTTTTTGCTTTCCTTTTTATATCAACTGGAGAACATTAATATTTGATTTTCATTTTTCTCAAAATAGTTATAAACTTGATTTCTTTGTAACTTTTGGGGGTGGAGTTTGTTGTTTCAGACAGTGATGATTCTAGGTCATTGTCAGTCCTGTTTAAATTAGAATCTAAAAATTGAAGGTGTAAGGAATTATATTTTATTACCAATTCCATGAGTCATGCTGTATAATTTTTTATGTTTGCTCTTTAGAGGTTTCTTATGTAGGTTGCTATTTTATGTTTCTCACTTGATTTTTAAAAAGTCTACAAAAAAGCTGAGTGCATAAAGAAAAACCTAAGAATCTGGTACCATTAATTATGTTTATTTTTTATTTCTGTGGATTTAGCTAATGTCGTTTTTAAGAAATAACTGTAAAGACCTATTTTTGGATCATTTTTTTAAACACTGAAAGTGAAACCCAAACATGAGGAAAACATTTCACATTACATGTAGTTTTAAGTAACAGGAAGTTTATTGCTTTGTACTCAGAAGTCACGCAGATAACATTAGTTTGGGATATAATTATTTATTCACCTAACTTTGTATGTGCAAAGCACTAAACTGAGGAAACAAATCAATGAGACTTGGTCATTGCCCTAAGGGAACCCCTTAATAATGGGAGGTGTGCAGACAAACAATCATGTTGCCATGTGGTAGTGGTGAAAAAGAGAATGTACAAAGTACTTTATAAGCTCAGAGGAGACATGGGTTAGCTTTGTTTAAGGGAAAACTTCACTGAGGAGGTGGCTTGCAGGATGATGAAGAGGTCATTGGTGGTAGGTGGTATTCCCCAAGGAACAGTAGGATATAGAGATGGATAGAATGTGGTAAGGTGGCTTTGGGGAATGGTGAACAGTTCAGTATGCCAAGATTATAGGGGTGCACAGGGTGGGTGCAACAGGCTATTGTGTTCTTGGAAAGATATGGGGCCTTGAATGATACAGTAATGATTTTGTGCATCTTGTACGGAGATAAAAACTACTAAAAGATTTTAGGCAGTGTATTGGTGTGATTAGATGTGAAATTTTGTAACTGGTAGTAGGGTGTAAGGTAGAATAGAAGTGGAAAGACTAGAAGTATGGACATCTTTTAGGAGGTTGTTTCTAAAACACAAGTATAGGCATGAAATAAGGACTGACATGGAGCAGTGGTTGTAAGTTTAAAGAAAGGAAGGAAGGCATTCAAAGACCACTCTGAGGAAGGGTTGATAGGACTTACTGACTAATTAGGCATAAGGTAAAGGGAGACCTCAAGGATGACTTGATGACACAAAAGGTTTTAAAAATAAAGTGTAAAATACAAGGTTAGTTTTATATAAACATAGCTATATTGTCATTGCCTTTCAGGTGTTAGCTGTTCAGATGAAGATGAAAAACCCAGAAAACGAAGGCGAACAAACTCTTCTAGCTCCTCACCTGTTGTCCTAAAGGAAGTTCCAAAGGCTGTTGTTCCAGTTTCAAAGACGATCACTGTGCCTGTGAGTGGTAGTCCCAAGATGAGCAACATCATGCAGAGCATTGCCAATTCCTTACCACCCCACATGTCTCCTGTGAAAATAACCTTCACCAAACCATCAACACAGACGACAAACACAACAACACAGAAGGTATGTGGTAGAGGGAGACTCTGCTTGCCAGTTATTGTTTCCAGTATGACAGTATGATTTATATTTAACAAACATGCACTGAGTGCTTACTATGTGCTTGGCATTATGCTGGGAATGCTCACATCTCTTACTTTATTTAATTCTGCACATAAAGCTTTGATAAGTATTATTATTTCAGTTTTTGTAGATAAAGCTCAGAGATGTTAAATGACTTGCCTAAAGTGACACAGCTAGCAGATCTCCTACTTCTAAGACTTGTGTTCTATTTTATCATCGTAATGCCATTTGGGAAAAAATTAAAATAGAATAAACTTTTTAACCTATATTTGTATAACTTTATCTTTAGGAACTCAGTTTTTACTTTGCCAAAGTAACAAAGTTGTCACAGTTAGGTATTTGATAGAAGAAAGGAAGGATATAATGAAGTGAACAATTATCTTCTTTTTTTATTCTTTGTATGCTATCGTTAGTTCATTCCTGAACTGTTCTCTAAGTATGTGTAAGTCATCAGTATTCTATCAATTTCTTGTTATTAGAACCCTTTGTCTTCCCACACTAATCTGGACCCTGATGGTTCTCTTGGTTTATTGCACACCTCTATTTCTGGGATTTCCCTTTACCACCATTCTGATCTTCTTTGTTAGTTTGTTTACTCATTTTGCTATAGCATATCCTCCTCCATTAGCTTCCTGGTATGTGGGTGGATGGAGAGTAAATTTTTTGAGACCTTGCATAGTGGACTGCAAATTTCTTTATTCCATCCTCCCACTTTCTTGATAGTTTAGCTAGGTAAAGTGTTCTAGGTTGGAAGTCATTTTCCCTGTGAATTTTGAAGATACTGCTTCATTGGCTTCTGGCTTCCTGTATTGCTTTTAGGAAGCCCAATGCCACTCTATCCTGTTTTTCTGTTTGAAAAATCTTAGTAACTTCCAGGGTTCTGAAATTTTATGGTAATGTTTCCTGGGGTGGGTCTTTATTTTATCCATTAGATGTATACTCAGTGGACCCTTTCATTCCAGACACTCATGTCCTTCTGGGAAATTTCTTGAGTTATTTCTTTGATTTTTCTCTGTTTTCTCTTTGTGGTTCATGTATTATTCAGGATGTTGAACTGCCTGGATTGGTCCTTTAATTTTTTTCTTTTCTCATTCCACATCTGTTTTTTTTCCTTTTTGTCTTTTTTCGTGTCCGGCAACGGATCGCAACCCTCAGTGTCGCGCCCGTACTGGACCGGGACCGGCAACGGGATCACAACCCTCGGTGTCGTGCCCGCACCTCGCTCAGCCAGTGAGCGGGAACCGGTCTGTATGTGGGATCCGAACCCTCGGTGGGAGCGCCGCCGCGCTCCCAAGCAGCGCACTGTAGCAGTGCGCCACCGGGCCGGCCCTCCACATCTGTTTTCTGGTTTTTACCCCCTTCTATAGTGTAGTGGCTAAAAGCCTGGATTTGAATCCTAGTCTTTGCTACTTACTAGCTATGTGGCCGTGGAAAAGTTTAAACACTGTACCTAAATTTTCTCATCTGTAAAATAAGAAAAACAATATATCTATTTTATAGGATTTTGGGGTGTAAATAAATGAGATAATATATGAGACTATTAGAATAGAGCCTAGCACATGGTAAATGTTCTGTAAGTATTATTATTTTCCTTATTCTTTAACTTTATCATTCACTACTGCTATGGAATTTTTCATTTTTCCTATTATACTTTAAATTTCTAGTAACTCTTTCTTGTACTCTGAAAGTTACTTTTTTAAAAAAAAAATAGCATCCTACACTTTCATGAAATCATTATATATTCTTACCTGATGATATTCATGATAATTTTTTGAAGTTTTCTTCTTTCATGTTCTCTCTGTTACCTGTAAGTTTCTTTTATCTCTTTGTTTTGATATCTTTCATTCCAGAGTTTCCTTGAGTGTTTGACTATCTGCTTATATATGAAAATAAGCACTAAAAAGATGACAGAGAACTCTTTGTATGGGTGGGACATGTTGACTGGTGACTTTCATTGTAGATTGACCTAGCAGGGCTGTTTTGTTAAGGAACACCCACTACCCCTTCACCTCCACCAGTTGTCACTATCTTTAGAGCTTTTTCTTGGACTGGTCAGATTCCTCAGAGAAATATCTTCCAGTCTCTTGCCTTTAGTAGCATAAGCCTGGCTGCCAGTGTTTGGGAGTAAATGGAGAGAGAGGACTGGGTGGCTTGACCATTGGTTATATAGACTTTACTTAACCACTCTGTTTTCAGTATAGCACCTGCTTCCTTCAGCTGCACCTGGTGTCAGTCACATTCCCTCAGATTCAGTCTGTCTCTCAAGAGAGGAGATTCCTAGCCTTTAGTGTCAGGGAGATTTAGCTGGGGATCTAAATGCTTCTTAAGCAGATTTTCAACTAATTTTTCTCTCCTTAGTCCCACCTTTACCCCCACTTCATAAGTCTCTGGTGCTCTCAATTCCTGAGACTTTTTGGGGTTCACTAATGCAAGTTGTTATTTCGTTGTTGTTCTGTTTGCTGCCTTAGGTTTCCACTTTCATGAGTATGCTTGATCTGTTACTACTTGTCTGTTTTCAAGTTTCCAAAATGTTATAGTTGTTGTCTCCTATTCGTTTTGACCTTACAGGTTTATGTGTCTTTTCCCCTTTAAAAAGTCCCTTCATACTGTTTTGGGAAGGAGTAGAAGTGAATTCTGCATTCAATGCATGGTTTTTCACCTTTGATTCTTTCATTTAAAGAACCTCCTTGAGTTTCCTGGAAAGATAACATTACATAATATATAAAATTATCATTATTTTCTTAATAACTAGAAGTGATAATGAGCTGATCAATGTGATGTAATACTATTTTCAAGCCAAGGATGAGGGATTATGATGTAGTATTAAAATTAAGCGAGAATTTTTGTAATTAGAGTCCTGGGTTTGAACCCTATATCTTCCAGTATGACCTGAGGTAAATTAGTCTTTTTAAATTTGTTTATTCATCTGTGAGATGAGAATAATGCCAATCTTATGAGGTTATTGTGAGGATTAAGTGAGTTTGGATATTTAAAGTGCAACATAAGGTATGTATTCAAAAAAATGTTAGCTTCCTTCCCTTGCACATATTTTATGGAAAGCAGTGTTTTGTATATTTACACTATTGATAATGAGCTGTTTCAAATAAGTGAATTCAAGAGTTCACTGAAGCTTATCCCTTAATATTTAGATATTAACTATTTTGATGACTTCTTTATGCTATACTAAACATAATTTTTAAATTTTTATTTAATGACTCCAAGATGATCTTCCTGAAAGTCACTTTTCATATGGTATTATAGTTATTGCTTTCAGGGCTGGCCTTATATTAGATGGCATCAGCCCACTATACTCTGAATTTTAAGTGTATTTACTGTAATGCTTTTACTGCCTTTGCTTTCATTGCTGGATCTTATTTTTTCAGTAATTCTTCTCTCTTTCCCCAATCTGCTCTTTTAATCTGGTATTTGAGAATAGCAAAACTATAGCTAAAAGAGCACCTGCCTCCTGTCCATATTCCCTTATTCACCTACCTCCCTTCTATTCCCTTACTCTGTTTTATTTTTATTCATTATATTTACATTTGTTATATTCGTATTTTATTCATTATGTTCATTATATTTAGTTGACATTATATGGCAAACTTGTTTATTTTCTATTTCTCTCATAGACTATAAGTTGCTGAGGACAGAGACATTGTCCTACTCATCACTATATTCCCTAGTGTTTAGAACAGTGCCTGACATATAGTAGCTTATTAATATTTGTTGAATGAATTAATGAATTAATAAATGAATGAATAATAAGTGAATAAATAGATCTGGTTCCAATACTAGCTCTGCCACATCTCTTGAGCCTCGCTTCCTTTATAAAACAAAGATAGTAGTATTTTCTGGAGTTACTGGGAGAATTAAATGAGATGATTCATGGAAAATACTTAACATAGTACCTATCATGAGTGCTCAATAAATATCACCTAACATCATTAACATTCCAATCTTTTTTGGTGGATTATGTAACAATACTTGTAATAGATGAGGGGTTGCCTATAAATGAAGTCTGTGAATTTTTTTTTTTTCAATTCACAGATTTCATGTCTTTTTTTTTTTTCAATTGAGAATAAATAGTTGAGGTTGTCAAACTTGTGATGCTTAGTAGAGGGCATATTTATCTCTGAAGTTACATATGAGTCATATAATAGATTTTAGGCTCAGAACCTTAGATTTGTCTTACTATGTTTAAAAAATAAACATTTAAAACAAATAAAAAATAAGACTCATTCATTCCACAAATATTTATTGAGCATCTACTATGTTCCAGATGTAAAACTGTACTCTTTTATTTCATGTGTACTCAATGCCATAAATGTTATTATTTTGTGGACAAGCTGAGTATGGGTAGGACTAATAAATATTTTTGGGGTGTTTTGTTTTTTGTTTTCCTTTTGCTGGGTAATTAGATTTTTAAAAAAAAATCTATCTAAGGCTGTTGCCATTACTGCATTCACCTTGGATCTCTCACAAATCCTGTGTGAGGCAACTTAGGAATTATTTTAGGTACAGTGACTTTTATATTAAGTATAATTATTTATAAATTTGTGGACTTTATTCAAATTTGAACAGGTCATATATTTTCAGGGTAGACAAATTCCCATCTATGTTAGTGTGGTGCCTTCATTTTAAATATAACATTGTTACAGCACTTATGTAAACAAAGCAACAAAATATAGCTTTATGCTTTCATGTGCTTGATTGATATTTTTCATTTTGTCCTTAGGGTGCAAGTCCCAGCACTCTTAAGGAGTTTTTGTGAGTGCTAGAAGGTCAGTAATTTGAATTATGGCCTGAATAAACACTGTTTGGTTCACTTGGTTTCAAAACCCCTATATTTCCCTTGTTGTAATAAGTAACTTTAAAGTACAAGTAGATTTTCTCTAACGTGGATCTCTAATTTTGGATAACCCCTTTTCATAGCAGAAATCATCTTGCAGACTAAAGTCTCAAAATATGTTTTATCATTTGTATCTGTAACCCAAAACGTGGTCTTAAAGACTCTAGATTTATTTTGCTGAAGTTTTGTTGTCTTAATGTTAGAAGCCTACATGTGTACTCTAGTTCTGAGGTTGCAAATATTTGACACAAGTGTGAATGCTTCCCCTTCCTTGCCCATGACAGACATTGTTAATTAACTGTGACACACTTTCCTGCCAAACCTTGGCGAATCTTCATTTGTGCTGCAGAGTCCTTATAAGTGTTGTGCTCTAGGAAGCTACTATAGTAGAAGCTAACTACAGTAGCTTCCTGGAGCGCTGTTAGTTTAGAACTAGCAAAGTAAAACTTAATTGGCATTACTACTCTGATTAGTTTGCCTGTGGTAGTAGCTATGAATTCTTTGGATTCTCAAGGGAATGAGAATTTGGGGAAAAGTTAAAGAAAATGTTTTTAATGAAACAAAAATAAAGTACATTGAAATACATTTCCAGATTGATTTGATCTATAATGGCTTTACTGATATCCCTTTAACATTTTATTATTTAGTAGTAGTAATCTACTAATAAGTATCATTTGTTGACTGCCAAATATTGACCACCTGCTATGTGCCTAGCACTATGTTAGATGCTTCACATCATTATGTCATTTAATACTTTTAATGATTTTGCAGAATAGGTATTATCCCCATTTTATAGATGAAAATTGGAGTCCAGAGATTTTAACATGTCCAGGGAACTGCCATTTGTAAGTGGCAGAGGTAGGATCTAAGCACAGGTTTGACTCTTAATCTTGTGGTCTTTTTATAAATTGGTCTATTTCTCAGTTTGTATGATGGTTGGTTGTTGTTTTTCTAAGAATTCTGTATAGATGTTTGCTGATCAAGTCTATATATTATGCTGGTCAACTCAATATAGGTGTTTGCTGGTCAAGACATATTTTTCTTAACTCTTCAAATAACCAGCAAACTCCTCAAAGTAATGAACAGGTTCTTATATCTTGTAATTCTCTGTAACATCGAAAATAGATAATAACAATGTTTTGATCAAAGCTTCTTTTGAGATGTAGGTACTGAGTACAGACATATTCAGTAAATTTTGACTGATTTAACTTCAGGCCTTCTTTAGAACTGATAAAAAAATGAAAAACTTTCTTGCTTAAATGCTTTTGATTTTTTAAAACAGTTTTTCTGTCTTAGGGAGGCACATGAAAAATAATTTCAGTGAAAGAGGAAGGAGATGCTCTGCTCTGTTTTGGTTATCACTATACCACCATTATACTTACCCCAGAATAAAACTGATACTACAGATTTAAATGATTTTTGTGTTCTCAACTGTAAAATGGGGATAATAATAGTATAGTCATAAGATTGTTGGGAGATTTAAGTAAGCCAATACATATTAGCTCTAGGAGCTGTTCTCGATTCTCTTCTTTTCCTAACCTTGTCATTTCCATTCATCAAGTCCTATTCTCTTTACCTCTCAAAATAATCTGAATCTGATCTCTTCTTTTTATTTTCACTAACACCCCAGTCTAAGCAGCCTCTATCATTTCTCGCCTTGTCTACTGCAACAGCTTATTAACTGGTTTCATTGCTTTCACTCTTGTCTCTCACTGCATAACAGCTAGAGTGATCTTTTAAGATATAAATCAAATTTTCTTGTTTCCTTACTTAAAATCCTCCAATGGCTTCCCAATATACTTAGTATAAAATCTAAATTCTTTACTTTGGCTTACAAATTTGATCTGACCTCTGCTTAACTTTTCCAATCTCTCCTTTCCCTATATGCTTTTGCTTTACTGGCGTTCTTGCTGTTTTTAAATACATCAAGCTAATTCTGACCTTAGGTCATTTACTTCATACTGTTCTCTCTGTCTGAAATGTTTTGTTCCTAAATCATCTACAGTTTTTTTTTTAGCTCTACTAGCTAAATTTTGGTGTCTCTTTCCTGCCTCTCTTTTCATACATTCTCTGTGTCAACCTATGAGCAAATCCTGTTGGTTTTACTTTTAAACTATATTCAGAATCTGTTCACTTTTTACTGCTTCCACCAGACATGTTGGTCCCCATCATCTCTGCTTGGTTTTTTACAGGAGCTTCCTAATTTGTCTCCCCATTTCTACCTTCCCTGCCTTACTTTACTTTTCACCTAGCAGATAGAATAATGCTTTTTTTAAAAAAAGAGACTTCATTTTTCAGAACTGTTTTATATTTACAGAAAAATTGAGAAGATAGTAGAGTCCTCTTATACCCTGCACCCAATTTCCTCTATTCTTAACATTTTACATTAGTATGATATATTTTTTATAATTAATGAACAATATTAATGCATTGATATTAACCGAAGTCCATGGTTTATTCAGATTTCCTGGGTTTTTACCTCTTGTCTTTTTCTGGTCCAGGATCTCATTCAGGATACCACATTATATTTACTGTGCTTGTCATGTCTCCTTAGGCTCCTCCTGACTGGAAGTTTCTCCGACTTTCCTTGTTTTTGATTACCTTGACACTTTTTTTTTTTGGTCCCTGGCCAGAACAGGGATCAAACGCTGGACCTTGGTGTTGTCAGCACCATGCTCCACCAACTGAGCTAGTCGGCCAGCCCCCTGCCCTGACACTTTTGAGGAGTACTAGTCAAATATATTTTAGATGCCCTACTATTGGTGTTTTTCTCATGATTAGACTAGGGTTTTGGGTTTTGGGGAGGAAGAACAAAGAGAGAATGTGCCATTTTCATCACATAATATCTGTGGCATACCTGCCTCCTTAGTGCAGTAGGTAGCACATCAGTCTCATATAAAGGGCATATGTTATCAACATTATTGTACATGATCTAGTTTTCTGTCACTTCTCTGCGGTTGTCTTCTACTACTCTCTACCTTATACATTCAAATCCCTTTCATTAGGTTCTTGAAATTTCTTGAACATACCAAGCTTGCTTCTGCCTCAGTGTCCTTGCATTTGTTGCTCCCTGTGCCATCTAGGTAGCAATATGGTTCACACCCCTACTTCCTTCTGAATTCTGTGCAAATTTTACCTTACAGAGAGATCTTCATTGAATACTTAGTAAAAAATCATCTAGCACTCTCATCATCCTTTATTTCCTTATCCTGCTTTATTGTCTCTTCCATTTGTCTATACCTGAGTTTTATTTACTTTTTTATTTGTTTATTGTTTCTCTTTCCTTACTAGAATGTAAGCTCCATGAAAGTATGAATTTTGTCTGTTTCATTCGTTCTTCTATTCTCCAGCATCTAGAACTATGCCTGGCACATAGTAGATGCTCAATAAATATTTATAAGTGAAAGAATGTTCAAATTACTTTCTGGAAATATTGTGCCAATTTATACTCCCTAAGCAGTATATTGAAATGTTTACTTTGCTGAATCTTGCACAGCATTGAATATGTCTTAAAATTCTTGATTGGTAAAAATTGTTGCTTTTAAATACATTTTGATGATTACTATAAAGAAAAGCTCTCATATATTTTAGTTGTATATTCCTGTCTATTGAATTGTTTTTCATGTTTTATAAGCTATTTTGAATTGTATTTAACTGAGTCTAGATACATTAATAGTATAGTAGGTACATGAAAATAACTTATTTTCCCTTCCTTAGGTTATTATAGTGACCACATCACCAAGTTCAACCTTCGTGCCCAACATTCTCTCCAAATCCCATAACTATGCAGCAGTTACTAAGCTTGTACCAACGTCAGTCATTGCTTCCACAACCCAGAAGCCACCAGTGGTTATAACTGCTTCACAAGCCTCTCTGGTCAGTAGTAGCAGCAGTGGCAGCAGCAGTTCTACACCATCACCTATTCCTAATACAGTTGCGGTAACAGCTGTGGTATCCTCTACACCATCTGTGGTCATGTCCACAGTAGCACAAGGTGAGTGATGATTTACCATCATTTAATTCTGTCCCTGTTGGTGTATGGGAATTTTGAAGAAAACTCTGGGTGTGTTTTTTGCTTTGGGTATGAAGGTCCCTACTGTTAGGTCAGAAATTACCAATCCCCTCCCCCAGTTTGAGAATGTCAAGATAGTGGGTTATTCAGCTTTTTATATTAATATGTTTACTCCAAAGTTTTTTTTCCAAAATGTGGGGTGCCTAATCATCTAGGCAATTAGCATTCATAAAATGTAGGTTTAATCTTGTCACGGCAAATTCAAAGGACTATACAAATGGCTTTAATATAATGAAAATTTTTTATGAGAAACTTGAAATTATATTACTATATGTTTTTCAGAGGAAACATCAAATACACAACCAAAGTAAGTGAATAAGTTATAGAGGAAAAGGATGGTTTCAGGGACATGCCATTTGTCTTTTCTTCAGTCTCCTAAATTTTTCTATATGGATAGGTGATGGAAGTATTAAGTGAGAGAGGAACTGAGAGCTGAACTCAAGGACAATCATTCCTTCATAGCAGAGGAAAGATAATGTAGAAACCTCAGTTTCAGGGGCCGAGCCCGTGGCGCACTCGGGAGAGTGTGGCTCTGGGAGCGCAGCAGAGCTCCCGCTGCGGGTTCGGATACTATATAGGGATGACTGGTGCACTCACAGCGCTCACTGGCTGAGTGCGGTGTAGCCGGTCTCAAAAACGACAAAAAAAAAAAAAGAAAAGAAAAGAAACCTCAGTTTCACTTTAGCTTAAATCAGTTTAGTTTTCCTCTATATCTTTATGTTCCTCCCATATGAAAGGCAAATAGCACATTGTCAGAAATTTTCTTTTTACAGTGTTGGTATGTCTTAAGACAGGGATCAGAGGTAAACATTTTTAATACAGAATTCATACTGAACATTTACAATCTATCAAAGAGAGCATAGAAGCAGTATAGTAGGGACCTTGGTATTTTTATTGAATTTTACTTGAATATATAGCCTAAGATATACTGGGGCTTAGAAATATCCTAGTTTATGAACTAGTAGTGAATGTAAGCACTCAAATAAGAAAACAAAGTGTCATGACTGCCTTAGTAATATATAGTGTGTTCTATATAACTGTGTTAGCAAGGAAGAAGTTACATAGTTAACAGTTGTAGTTGGTATTCTTTCACTCTGCAGCCCTATGGTAGGATGTGAGAGCATCCGTCATTATTTTCTGGCTCTGATACCTATTTAATGTCCCAATCAATGACAGGAAATATCAGGCTTCAAATTTTCTTTTATGTGTTACTGTGAGTAATTTTTAAAAACCATTCCAACCTATTTGTACAGCAATAAACTATAATATAGTATTATTAAATATAGAAATAATTTTAATGCAGAAAGTCTGTTTTAAAATGCTAATTACATATTCTAAATTCACCATTTTAATATTTGAAGGTGAGAGAGGGAAAGGCCACCTGATTTCTCATCTGACTGACCCCTATATGAAAATTAATGTAAATGATCATCTATTAATAGTTGTTTTTCACTTCTAGTACTGACCAAACAGTTTGGGTAAAGTTTTATTGTATTAGAAAGATTACTGTTCTTCCAAGGAAGATGCTATTAATTGAAATGAGAGGTAATTCTCTTGGTTACTAATGAAATATCTTCAAGCGAAAAGAATATTCAGTGTTTCTGATTTTCTCCAGGTATCCTCTGATTCTCTTGGGAACTTATGACTTCTCACATTTTCTTTTCTGCTTCTTAACATACTACATTTCTTTGAGCCTTATGTAATTACAGGGGAGCTGGACACGACTTCTCAGATTTCTCATAAAGTCACTGCAAGCCGACAGAGCGTGAGGCATATGAAAGTCAACTTTCTGAATGTAGATACTCAAGGAAACTATGTGATTATTTTGTTTCTGTCTGAGATATTTAATTTAGATATTGTATTATTCTGTTTCTGTTGCTTATGACAGAATACTTGGAACTGGGTAATTTGTAAGAAAACAAAATTTATTGCTTATAGTTTTGCAGGCTGGGAAATCCAAAGTCCAGGGAACACATCTGGTGAGGGTCTTTGTTGGTGACTTTACAGCAACACAGGAGTCTTACATGGCGGAATGGTGGAGCAGAGAGGTAGAAACTCTCATGTGCTGTCCTTTTAAAGCCCCCAGAACCACACCTATGACCACTATTATTATAATCCATTCATTAGGGCACAATCCTCAGAATCTAATCACCTCCCCAAGGCCCCACCTTTCAGTTACCATAATAGGACTTCCCACCCTCTTAACAGTCACAGTGGGGATCAAGCTTCTAATACATAAAATATTATAAAATAAGGACATAATTCAATCCTTATTAGATATTATTAGTGCTAAGAAATTAAGGCATTTTATTTTTTAAAAGATGGATGTTAGTAGAAGTAATAATACACAAACTGCACTTGTGATTCTGACTACAAGGCTTCTGTAGCAACTCCTGTGTGGGTAACTGAGGGACAAGGGCATTCAGTGTCTGCTTCTATTGTGGACTAGTGATAGACCATTTTAGAGCTATATATCTCTGATTATTCTTGTAGGGGCAGCTGGTGGTAGAGGGGAAAGGGTTTAAGTCACACTGACCTGGTGGGAGACTCCATGTTTAAAGTGTAGACATGGTTATAAAAGTAGGGAGTTGCAGGGGATTGTGGATGATTGGCTTATGCTGTAGGAAGGGAAAGGAACTCCTTAATACTTGGAACATGGGAATTCTTAAAATTATACCAATTAGATAATTATAACTAATTATAATGCCATTATCACAGGAGGGATTATAATGCCCTCTCTCTCTTGCTCTTTACCCTTCTGCCATGGAATGACGCAGCAAGAAGGCCCTCCCCAGATGTGATGCCTCAATCTTGGACTTCCCAACCTTCAGAGCCAAATAAATTTCTGTTCATTATAAATTAAAAAAAAAATTAATAAGAAAAAAATGTATTATACTTGAGATGTGATGCATAATTTACAAATAAATGTCAGGCCTACAAAAAAACATTATACCAGTTAGAATGGTTATTCTGAGTTGATCATCTGGAGGAAAGGATAATATATATATATGTTTTTATTATGGAAAATTTCAAACATGCAAAAGTAGAGAGAATAGTAAAATGAATCCCCATCACCTACCTTCAAGGATAATCAACACATGGTAGGTATTGTTTCATCTATACTCTGTATTTCCCTCCACATACCCCTGACCTGGAATTTTTTGAAGCAAATCCCAGCAATCATATAATTTCACCTATAAATACTTCAGTATGTATCTTTTAAAAAAAGATCACAACTCACAATATCACTCTCACCTAAATTTTTTAAAACAATTTCTTGATATAATAAACTATCCAGTTAGAATCTAAATTTCCTTGATCGTGTCATACTTTTTTTTTTTTTTTAAAAGATGACTGGTAAGCGAATCTTAACCCTTGATTTGGTGTTGTCAGCACTACACTCTGCCAAGTGAGCTAACCAGCCATCCCTATTTAGGGACCCAAAACTGTGGCCTTGGTTTTATCAGCAGCACACTCTCCCAAGTGAGCCATGGGCTGCCCGCCCCCCCCTTTTTTTTAAAGAAAATTAGGATATAAACGAGGTGCACACATTGAATTGATTGATATGGTTATGTCTTTCTTCACTTACAGGTCTCTTTTCTCTTTTTTTTTTTTTTCCTTTTTGTCTTTTTTTACTGACTGGTAATGGGATCGCAACCCTCAGTGTTGCGCCCATACCGGGGAACGGCAACGGGATCGCAACCCTCAGTGTTGCGCCCGCACCGCGCTCAGCCAGTGAGCGGGAACCGGTCTCCACATGGGATCCGAACCCTCGGCGGGAGCGCCGTCGCGCTCCCAAGCAGCGCACTCTCCAGTGCGCCACCGGGCCGGCCCATCTTTTCTCTTTTTTGCCCCTTGCAGTTTATTTGTTGCAGAAATAAGTCATTTTTCCTGAGAGTTTCCTATAGTATAGATTTGCTGATTTTATCCCTGTGGTGTGGTTTAACAAGTTCTCTCATTCTGTTTACTTCCATAAAACTGGTAGTTATATTTAGAAACTTGATCAGATTCAAGTCTGATTGATTTGGGAGACAGAGGAATGAACATTTTCTTTTTTTTCTTTTTTTTTTTTTTTCCTTTTTGTCTTTTTTCGTGACCGGCAACGGATCACAACCCTCAGTGTCGCGCCCGTACCGGACCGGGACCGGCCACGGGATCACAACCCTCAGTGTTGCTCCCGCCCCTCGCTCAGCCAGTGAGCGGCCGGTCTGTATGTGGGATCCGAACCCTCGGCGGGAGCACCGCCACGCTTCCCAAGCGGCGCACTATAGCAGTGTGCCACCGGGCCGGCCCCAGAATGAACATTTTCTAAATGGTATTGTGTACTTCCTGTTGCATGACTTTAGGAGGCATATGATGTCTGTTTTTTTCTCTTTAATGATATTAACATTGACCAGTGGATACAAGTGTTATCCTTGTTTATTTTTGGCTGCTGGCTCATACAGGGATCTAACTCTAGACCTTGGTGTTTGTTATCAACATCACACTCTAACCAATTGATCTAACTGGCCAGCCCACCAAATGGTTTTAATAGCTATTGATAATGTTTGCCTAGATCTATTATTTTATTGATTGTTGCAACATGGATTTTATCTTTATTTTCTTCATATATTAGCTGGAATTCTTAAAGAAGAACCTTACCTTATTACCACTGCTTACCCTGAGATACAAATTCTTATAGGAAAAGCAGGATAAATGCCTGATTATTTTCCTTTATTTATGTTTTTACATGCATTGTTTCAGTGGCAAATAAGATTTTTACTCTCCATATCATTAAGATTTTTGATGTCTATCAATGTGTTGCAGGTATTCTCTTGATGCTGAAATTGTCCCATCCTTTTTAGTGGAAGCCTCTTCAAGTTGGCTCCTAAATTCTCTTGACACAACTATGTTAGTTTTTAATGGTTTCCTTGTTTTGTGGT